CTATTTTGACTTTCCTGGTACAAATTGGCAACACGCAAAAGGGGATTTCGAATGGACCAGAAAACAATAAGGGAAGAATGAGGACTAAAACATAAATACAAACAAAAAAACTTTTATTCTATTCAGTCTTGGAGTAAGCCAAGTATAAAATATAGTCATATTCTCCATAAAAAGTGGTTTTAGTCCAGTACTTTAGACCCTTGTAAGATTTTGTCCTTCTGGGTTTCCCCTCACAGGTTGCCTTTGAACAACTGTCTCAGCACCAACACTCACTACAACCACCACCCTCAAAACCCAAGACCGGCAGATATTCTTCTGTGAACATTTGGATAGTCTTTGGCAAGTGCTTATTTCTCTAGCAGATTTTGTGCAGAATAATACGAGACTTTTAAATTCACTTTTAGGAATGAAGACAATCTCAAACTCAGAGTAGCCCACACTTTTGGCTCAAAAAAGATTTTTAAAAATTGTTATTCTTGCTGCTTATTACACTTTAAACAGAATCTAAAATCATAAAAACTCCTCTTCTTTTGAGGTTCATGCCATGCATCTATACTGCCATCATGCCCCTTCATCATTGTCAGCATTTATGTACTATGATGACTGGCAAATCCTGGATGAATGGTTGATTCTTTGAATAAATGATTGATTGAATAAAAGCTGCTTTTTTGGTCACCGTTCTGCATTTATTGGAGGCTATGATGCCTGGCTTATTACATTTCTTTCTACATCTGTTCCTATCATGATCCTTGGTGAAGTGGAGAACCAAACAAAAATTCCAGCTTCCACACAATCCCTTGATCTTCTTAGTGACTTACTTTCCCCTTCACTCATTTTAACCATAGCAGTCAGATCTAGAACTGCTTCATGTCCTCTTGTCTGACCACAACCTTTTATGCTTTTAGCTCCCTCATGCCCTACTTCCAATCCCTTGATACTCTGATTTCTCCCTACTTTTCCTGGCATTCTTCCCTTTACACATACTAAATCACTGTCTTAAAATGCACTCCACACCCTCCACCCTCCTGCCTCCCTTCAGCCCTGCCTAGTTTACTTGGAGGTGGGCCTAACTTGAAGCCTAGATTACAATCTACCTCCTTTTCATTTTGCCTAGACTGCTGAGCAAGGCTGGGAAAAACCACAACCCTGAGGTCTGGCACCATGGTCATTGCTTGTCTCCGAAGGATCTTCAACAGCTCCATCAGGGTTGTCCTGGTCCTTGGTCAGCCATCTTTACCATGCCTCCCAGTCAATCCCACCAAACCGTTAACCCTACTCTCATTCACAGCAGATAACCTTGCTTCCTCCTCTATCGGACAGGGAGTTCCTCCATTTTCTCTCTTTTCCACCTATAAACTGACCTAATACTTCTGAAACCAGCCTAGTGCTCGCTTCCCAGACTAGCACTCACCAGTTGTTCATTCCTGTTCCACAGCCAGTCTTCCACAGGACTACAGACCCTGCACTCTTCCATTGCCTCTGGGCCCCTATTTCCTCAATTATTTCACTCAAAAAATATTTGTCTGTTGGTTTACTATAAACGGGGCCCTGTTCTAGATGCTGGAGTACAGTAAGGAAACCAAGACAGACAAAAATCCTGTCTCTTCCTGGGGAACAGGGGGTGGGGGGTGTGAAGAACAGACAAAAAAAGTAAAGGCTTCAAAACAAACGAGACACTTTCTCTTTTCATAGACCATATCCATGGAACATAGAACTAGAGGGAAAAACTAGTTCTGATTCTTGAAGTAGGAACTCAGACTGGTATGAGAAGTAAACCTCTCCTTCAGCTCTGCCCTGCCTCCAATATACCCTGGTCTCTTTCTAAAGCCAGCCAGCCAAACTTCCTTGCCTCTGTACTGCCCCCTCTAGCTACCCCATTAGCTCTGAATGCTTTGTTCTTCCCTACTCAGGTGATCTTCTTTAAAGATAACTCTATATATGCTATCTTCATATTCCTTTCTATTTAATTGTCTTTTTAGTTGAAAAAGTAATGTATACATTAAAAAACCAACAAAAAGCTGAAGAAAGGGCTACTGTAATTGTTAATTGTCCAGTCACTCTTCATTTAATCTACCATAATCCACCTTCTGCTCTACCACTCCATGGAATCCACTCTGGCAAGGGTATCTAGTGACCGTCCCTCCACAGCACCAAATCTGCGTGGACTTTTCCAGCCTTGTATTATGGTACCTCTGTACTCCTGACCCTCTTCTCCCCACTTGGCTCAGACAGAACAGTCCTTTGGGGTTACAACACAAGCTCTTCCTCCTCTGGTGACTCTTAAGTGCTGATGTTAAATGCAGTTCCACCTTTGCCCATGTTCTCTTTCTGTGTGTACCCATCTTAGGTAGGGGGACCACATAATTTTATGATCCTAATGTGACATCTTTGAGAGTGAAAGAGGGCTGTATTAATAATTACTATTCTGGGCTAGCAAGTGTAAACAAAGACTATCCCAAACAAACTACAATATATGATCACCCTATTCTTAGGAGGTGGAAACCACTGTTATGATTTTAACTAACACATACCTATTAATCATTTGCAAAATTAAATCTGTAGCCTTGATATTGACATTGAGCTTTATTTTCAAAATCATCAGGTTATGATTTCTTACAGGTATCTCAAACTCAGCATGGTCAAAATTCAGCTAATCATTTACATTCCTAAAGCCTAATAATCCTTATGGTTTCTATCCAAGTTAAAACATAAACCACTCAAGCCTCCGAGCTGGGGATTGTTCTGGATTTCCCATTTTCCCCCACCTATCTTACTTAATCACTAAGTCATATTAACTTTAGCTCTGAATACTTCTCTAATCCATTGTTTTCCCCAAATTACTGTCATAACTTTCTCTGATTTCCTTGCTCCAGTCTTGTCTCCTTCAAGTTCATTTTCCACATCGCTTCTAGAGTGATCTAAAGGTTATCACACTTCTGCTTGGAACCTTTGAATAATAGCTCCCTATCGCTTACAGGACAAAGACTTTCATCATGATCCTTCCTATTCACTTCTTCAGTCTCATAACCTGCTAGTCTCTCTCCTTTTGTACTCTAATACCAAATAGGTTGTAGAAATGTACACATACACACCCCTCCATCAAGCTGCTTCTTACTTCCGAGGACTTTTCTCCTGCTGTTCCTTCTGCCTGGAATGCAAATATCTTTATTTGGCTTGCCAACATCTACACAATTTTTTCTGTCCTCTCACACCTGGCCCAGAGGGGAGCTCAGTGGCTCTCTTTTAAGTTTTCATACTACCTGCTCACATCTCAACTACAGCACCAGATACGTTAGTTTAAATTACTTATGTCAGTCTCCCCTACTAGTTGGCAAGCTTCTTGAGGACAGGAGCAATGGCCCTTAAATACCTAACAAATATTCATTCTATTTTTAGGAGATCCCATCCACTGTGATGGACTTAATTAACAAAATTAAAATAAGTTAGACTAAATATTGAAATGAATAAACAACTTCATTACTTCTGCATTTTCCCACATGTTTTACAAATTGATCATTGGAAGGTTAAAAATGTGTAAGGGCTTCAGCTGCCAAAAATTTGCCATGTTTTATAATATTAAAAGAGTAGATATTAGGAGATAGGATGATTAAATTAAAAAATGAATAGTGGTGATGCACCAAAGTTAAAAAAAGAGCAAATTGATAATTGTTTATAATTACAGAAAATCAGAATACATTTCAGTAGTTGTTTGATTTGGAAAGTCTTATAAAAATATTATTCAAAAGCATTTTTTTTCCCTAAAAGAGAGAAAAAGATTCCTCATTCCTTTTGTTTTTTATTACTTACATTTTTTAAAGAAATATAACTTTAAAAGGGAGATTAGTATCAAATCTCCTAAAATCCAGTATCTATCAAATCTACCCAATCATCCTTCTCTACTTTCCAGATGTTCCCTCATATGATTTTCATGTTCTTATATTATTAGCTCTGGCTCAGAAGGAAGAAACTTTCACTTTGTCTGTCAAAACTCAAACTATTTGACCTTCAAGGCACAGAAAAAAATCCATAATTTTTGGATAAAATACAGTGTTCCTGTCACTTATTTATTCTAAGTAATTTTGGGGAAATCAAAAAAGTATAATCTAAAATTTTAAATACTAGTGTTACCAGGGGCATAACAAGAACATCTGGCACAAGTGGTATTCAATGAACAAATAAAGAGACCAATGTAGTAATTTAACAGTCACGATTACGAATGACTCCAAATAATACATGTTCTTCTGACAAAGTCTTACTCTTATGATAGTTTTCTATTTCCTAATGAAATCATATCACTTTGTGCAATCTTTCCTAATTATATTTAGGCTTACAAATGTTATTTGGCAAAGATTTGATTATTTCTTTGAAAAGGAAAACAATTTGAGGTATTTTGAAATTTAAAACATGCTCTGATACTTTCTTCAAACTGAGGACTATCAGACTATTCAAAAAAGATAGGCACTAGCTTTCTGGTTATGGCAAATACCCTGAATGTACATCTGAGGAGATGGGACTGTGAGAAATGCATTTTGCTAAAATATAACTAGGAAGAAGTTAAAATACCTTTAAACACTATATCTGTTAATGGCAAGGCATTGATACTATTTTAATATAAAAACAACTCTAATCTCCTGATAAATATCCTTGAATACTCCCTACCTGTCAGAAGGTGGAGCTCTAAACATATCTGAAATACTGGCTTTTATATATGCATTTCGCAAACACGTGTAATGAGAAGATTAAAGCAGGAGTAAAGTCTTTAGAAAAATGGCTCTGAAGAATATCCCAATTTTCGCAGGATAAAATCACTCACATCTCCCAATATGTACATGGTTAACAAGATGTTTTGTATGTTTCTTTGAAATTTCAATGTATTACCTACTATAAAAATTTAGGTATATGTAAATCAGATAATAAAATATAAAGTATATTTGAGAGGGAAAACATTTTAAAAAATCAGGACCACCTAATCAAATGTAGGCAAGGTCATTAACACTTACGAGCATCTCGGATGTAGAGTAACATGGCTATGAAGATATAATCGACTAAACTGAGGCTGAGGCCGTCTGCAAACAGGGCATCCCAGACCACCAGAAGATCCTGCAGGGGGAACTCTCGTCCAAACAGCAGCCGCACCCACCGTCTGGAAAGAAGCAAAACAGAAATTTAGAAAACAGTACTTTTGAGAATAATATGAACAGTGACCATTTTCTCAAGTAACTGTGAAAAAATTTAAAATTTATGATTTATCAACTGAGCACAGTGAGCAAGTATTATATATTAAAATACCAAAAATCTATACAGTAAAATTTAAGT